ACCCTTCCCCCCCCCCCCCAGGAGCATCCCTGGGGACCGTGGGGGATCAGGGACCAGCCCACCTTCACCCACTTGCGGCCTCCATTGCCTGCCGCTGGCATGGGGTGCATGGAGAGAGCTCTCCCATGGGACCCCAGCTGCCTCCCACGCCTGGGGACCCCACAGCAAAACCCCATCCCCTCTGATGCCTGTTGTGACCTTTGTTAAGGTGACGGCAGGGCGGGCGGTGGAGGCTTGCCGGTGCGCTCCGCTCCCGTGCCCTGGCACGCCGGCACTGCGCTCTCCAGGGCCAGCTCTGTTTTTCTGTGCATAATCTCACCGGTGCCGGGCTCTCCTGCGAGCTCTCCGGAGCCTGACTTCTTCTCGTACGAGGAATTGTAACATGCAAATCAGGCAGCTTGATGTCTTTAATGAAATCCTCCGAAGGAAAGCGCTTCTCTGGTGAATTGAGGATATTTATTTCTCATACAAGAAATTTAACATGCAGATTAGTTGGGTCTGGTAATTTATCACATGAGATTGTCCTATTAAGGGTTGCATTGAGTCCTGCTGCCTTCGGAAATTACCTTGCACATAGATTACCTCTGGACAGACTCCCATCCATGGAGATGCATCTTCTATTTACTAAATCAGCCCTCTTTCCTCTCCCCACATCCCTCTGCAGCTGGTGCGGGAGCCCAGCAGCTACTAAAGGATCCCCCGCCTCTTCCCAAGAGCCCAGATCCTCTTTGCCGGGAGCTCGGAGCCTGGGAAAGTGTAATTACATCTCCGACACTTACTGGCTTCGCCACCGTGGTGCTCACCGCAGCAAAACAGCATTGGCACGACTGATCCTCCCGGCCCTGCCCTGGGTTTCTCGGGCAAACTGCAGCCCCAAGACCCCGCAAGCCCCGGGGTTGGTTTCCAGCACGTGGTGCCTCTGTCTGCTGCCGTGCATGGGGAGGGTTCGCAGGAGCCGCCCTGCGTGGGCTCACCGAGGAGGGGCAGATTTGGGGCTGTTTTGACCCCACCTCGCTGGGTTGGGATGTTTTGGGGTACGCGTACCCCAGGGATGCAGGGAACATGGCATGCTGCACACATGGGACCCCACCAAGCCTTTATGGCCTTTTGAGGACTCCAGATGTTTGACACCTGTACTTCGTTCCCAAATTATGTAAAACATGGAGCCAGGAGCCTTTCAAAAACACGGGCCTGGGGGCAAACGGGGTGGTTCACCCCCACCTCCCTGCTGGTACCCCAACCTGTGATGCTGCTGGCTGGGAGCATGTCCCTTCTCTGGCTGGACCAGCTCTTTGCCAGCCCGGGTGTGAAGCGCAGCCTTCTCCCCTGGGGACCTAACTGCCATTCAATAATATAATTAATGGAAGCTGATGAACATCAGAGGGGTCCCAGCCAGGCTAAGTGGGAGCCCAGCAGTGAGCTCCTGGTGCCCGTGGCTCCAGCCTGGCCGGCTTCACGTTCGGCATTGCTGCGTGGCAGCATGGGTTGCTCCTGGCAAAGCCCCCGGGAGCGCCGGTGAGGCAGCGCCGAGCGGGTAACGGGCAGCACAGGGTGGGCTTTGCTGGTGACGCTCGTGTTGTGAAGCCTCCTGCCTTTCCCTGTGCTTTGTTTGGCTTTGAAGGGGAGGGGATGGGGGGACATGGGGAGGTTGGCAGGAGCAAGCGGCAGCGATCGCCAGGGACAGGGCAGTGGTGCCTGGCAGCCGTGCGGGCATCGGGGCTGGCAGAAGGCACGTGGGGGGAAGGCGATGGAGGGGACCTCCTTGCTGGGACCTTAGGTGGGCTCAGCAGCCACGGGAAGGAGACCGGTGGAGGGCTCTCAGGCCCAAAGATGCCACCTGAGCTGGACAGTGGCGGTGGCTGAGCTCCCAGAGCCCTCTGGATGCCGCAACACAGATTGAGGCTTGTGTGTTTGCTCCCCTCCCTGCTCTGCAGGAAGGCGGCAGATTAATACGTGCGCATTAATTATTGAATGGCTCATTGTTCTGGCAGGGCCAATTGAGGTGGCGATTTACAGGGCTGCCGGTGCCCGCCAAATTCCCCTGACCAGAGGAGAACACTTCTGGCAAGCAGAGAGGCGACAGCTCCGGACACATGTGTCAAAACAGAGCCCTTTCCAATCAGGAGCTAACTGAGGTCCAGTAATACAGTTAACAGGGGCTGATGAAATACCAGGGGGGTTATTTAAAAACATGTTGAGCAGAAGCCCAGCGCTGCGGCTGGGTGCGGGCGGAGGTGCTGGGACGCATGGCTCAGATGCTGGGAGTCGTTAAACCTTTGCTAAGTGTGTTTTAATGCTCACTTGACATTTCATTATCGCACAGTAACTATTCAAATACATGTCCCCTCTAGAATTAATTAGTCGTTATACAGGATATTAATCAAAGGGGACTGTGCCAATGTGCTTATATCCAAAATCCGATCCAGCTGTTGCTGTTACTGGGCGGCATTGGAAGAACCACACAGATTTCTGCACTCTCCTGGCTTTCAATTTGATGGATCAAATCCTTTGGCTGATGCTTTTCCCGGCCCCTCTCCACCCCCTCAATCTAATAATAATTCGGCAGCGTCAGCCCCACGCTTCTCAGCAACCCTACAATAATAGAGCCGCGAGCATCAGCCAAGGCTGGGGCATCGCTCTGCCGGAGCGCAGGGGCCTCGCGGCGCCATGAGCAACCCTACAATAACAAGGCAGTGTGTGCAGCCCGGCGTGCCGAGCGTATCGGTGCTACCGGTGCCTTGCCAGGGTTGCACGGCGAGGGGGGTTATGGCTGATCGCCGTGCTGTGCCCTGCCCTACCTCGCCGCGGTGGAGCTGCCGGGTAGATGGATGGGGAGGTCGTCGTTCCCGACGTGCAGCCCATCCATCTGTCAGATCGATCCAGTGCCAAAGCCTTCCACCGGCTGGCTGCTTCTGCAAACCCTCCGGTCCCCCGGCACGGAGCTTCTGGCTCCGGAGCCCCCTCCTGACCCCGGGGCCGAGCGTGGCACAGGCGCTTCCTGACCCAGCCTGGAGACCGCTGCTGTTTTCCATCAGTGCATTTTTTTGAAGCGAGGGTCACTCCTCGCTTCGGAAGTGCTTTTCCCCACAGACAATGCCCTGTCAACCTCCGTCTTTGAAAACAAACCAAACCAACCTCGGAAACAGCGGAGTCAGCAGCAAGGGCCGTGCCGGGAGCACGGCCAGACCTCCGTCCCGGCTTGAGCGGTGCAAAACGTGCCTCCAGGCTGGTGGATGGGCAAAGCGACCCGGTTGGGGCAGTGCCCGTGGGCACCAGGTGGCAGGATCGGCCCCAAGCGGAGGAACTGCTTGCTTGCACGGAGGAGCCGGGAGCTCCTGGCCACGGAGGAGCAGCCGTGGCTCATAGCTGCTCCTGCTTGCTCAAACTGGGGGGGGGGGCTGCGTGGGGTGCTGGGACTGCAGGCTTCACCCCTCCTCCTGCCTGCAGCATATCCCCCTGCAAGGGGGTGAAATCGGTTACTGTCCCCTTACAGCCAGGTATGATGGGGAAGAAAGTCAAATCAGAGCGATCTTGGCTAAAAGCCTCCGTGGAAGCCGAGCGGCAGAGAACAAAGTCTCTGCTTGTATTTGGTTAATGACTGCGGGCCAGGCTGTGCCCGGTAATTGATTTCCTTTCTCCGGGCTATTTTCAGCTGCTTAGGTGTGTGCAAAAGCTCGGCTCCTTAATAGCTCCTCCAGCTCGGGTGGTGTGGGGACCGAGGCCCGTTAATTGGGGCTGCAGGGGTGTCCCTGTCAGGGGGATGAAGGCTTCCCATGCCCACGGAGGTGTCCCTGCCCCCAGCTCCCAGAGCGTGGGGACAAGGCGCTGCAGTGGGGCTGTGCTTCAGTGGGTGCTTCGTGCGTGGGTGCATGTGAGCCCCAAGGGTGGGGACGGTTTGGGTCCCACAGGGTGGCTCACAGGCTGTGCTGGGGGCTTTGCACTGGTCCTTTCCTGGGGTGAGGGTTTGGAGGGGACATGGCAGTGAGGACGTGGCAGGGGGGTGCACAGGAGGTCCGTGTGGGGACCATGCGTGCCCCTCTGCTGCTGAGCGGGCAGGTGAGCATCAGCGAGTGTCTGTCCGTCCATCCACGTGCATGTGTGTGCGTGTGATTTATTAATGAGGACACCACAAGGAGAGCGGGCCCATTATTCCTCGTGTCCACATCAGTTCCTGACAGCTCCGTGGAATTGAAATATCTTATTTAAAGCCTCTGGGGATCATTTTTAAATATCAGCCATGACACTCAAGGACTCATTCCCAAAGGGCATCCTCCCTTCTCCCGTGGGGACGGGTGACCCCCGGCATGCCACGTGGGTGGGTGGGTGTCAGCAGGTTTGATGCCAGCCCTGCCGTGCCCATCCCAGCTCAGTGGTGCCACCGGGCGAGGCGGGAGCCCCGTGTCCCCGGCACCGTCTCCCACGCCGGGGCGGGTGGGCACAGGGGCCTGCCGCACTTCCCGGCAGAGGGGACATGCTCCTCGTGTCTTATGAAAGTTTAATTTATGCCCAGTTATCAAAAGAACAAACAAAGCTCTGCCGAAACAGCCTGCGGCATGTTTTAATGCAAGATTAGATTTTGGGCAAGGAGGGTTGAGCTTGCTTATTTATTCCCTTACTGCTTTATCTCGGAGCGCTCCCCATCGGGGAAGGCGATGCTGCGGTGCCTGCCTGTCCCTGACAGGGTCACCAGCCTGCGAGGCCAGTGGGGGGGGGCAGCCCATTTTGGGGGGTGATGGAGCAGGAGCACCTGCATCCCTCCTGGGGGTGCGGACTGCTCGAGGAGGTCTGGTGGCAGTGGGGTCCGGCTTGGGGACCGGGGCGATGCTTGGGGGCGGTGGGTGAGTCGAGACCTGGTTATTTCCTTTATCTGCTTATCAGCTGTTGGTGCTGGTGGCTGATAAGAGCAGCCGCTGGGCACTGGGGATGATAAGCCCCGGATAATCTGAGCGGTGCTGGGCTCAGCCGCATGCCGGGCCGAGGTGGCGTGACACCGGCAGACCCCAGTGTGCCTCTGTGGCACGCCGCTGTGGCTCGGCGCAGGGGTCAGGACGGCGGGTGCCAGGTCCCCGGCAGCCGCCTCCGCTTTTGACAGCTCGAAGCCACTTGCCCAGCGCCTCCCACTCGTGGCGGGGGGGGCCCGTCCCCCCCCGGCACCGGGAGGGCACCGGCCGCCGGCTCATGCCGCGTGTGTGGCGTGGTGAAAGCACCTCCTGTGTGCGTGGCCACGAGTCCCCCTGCAGCAGGGAGGGACACTGTGTTGTCTCCCCAGCATGCACGTATGTGCACACACATACATGCTTGCGCAGACATGCACATACGTGCATGTACACGCACCTCCAGCAGCTGCTCCCTGGGGAAGGAGCCAGCACCTGGCGCAGGGGTTGCTGCCCAGCAGTGAATGGGGGGCTTGTGTAGGACCTGCAGCCTCTCCCGGGGGCTGTGACGGTCACTTGGCTGTCCCCCCCCCCACTGAGGTGGCTCCTCTCTCCCGCAGGTACATGATCACATCCCTGGACCGCACGCACGCCGGCTTCTACCGCTGCATCGTCCGCAACCGGATGGGAGCCCTGCTGCAGCGCCAGACCGAGGTGCAGGTGGCCTGTAAGTGACAGCCCTGCTCGGCAGGGGACCGGCCAGGGACACCCAGCTCCCCGGAGCTGCGGAACGGCTCAGGCATTGGTGCAGCCCATCGCCAGCACACGAATCCGGAGCATCCCTGGGGTGATGCTGGCAGGGATGGGGCTGTTGCTGCCTCTGCTGCTCCCGCTGCCCAGTCAGGCCGTGGTGGTTGGGGATGCAGGGGGGCACCCCACGGGCAGGGCAGAGCGTGGGGTGCAGGCAGACAGCACTGGGGCCGGGAAACCCGCAGCACTGCGTCCGGGCAGGTGGCTCCGGCTCGCTGGAGGGGTGAAACGCTTTGCAGTGTGAAAGCAGCCCCACTCCTCCCCGGCTGCATGGAACGCTGAAAGCAAACACTGTTTATAATTGTTCCTGAAAGCAAACAGGAGTGCGCGAGGCCGGGCGGCTGCATCCGTCAGCATGGGAGCAGGGGCAGCCAGGCTGGCGGCTCGGTCCCTGGTGCCGCTGCCGCGGCTCGGCACGGATCCTGCAAACGAGCGGACCCGAGCAGGATGGGCCAGACCTCGGGGGTCTGCACTGGGGGGTGATGCAGAGGCACCATGGGGGGTTTAAGCAGGACAGGAGGGTGCTGGGGCCTGGGATGCTGACTCTGTGCCCCGGGGGACTTGCGCCTCTCTGTCACCCCTTCCCTCCGGCATGCCCCCAGTCCTATCCCCTTAAACCCCTTCCTGAGGAGTAATGACAAATCAGGAAGCTAATGAGAAATTAATAAGGCAGCTGTGCTAACAACTAATGATAATAGCAAAGTCGTTAAAAAAAGATTCTTTACATGTTTTTAATTACAGCAATTAAGGGAAGTCAATAAAAATCTCCCGCGCCCCTTCTCCATGCACCCTGCTTCACTCTGCTTCCCTCAACTGCTATGTGCTTCCAACCTGCGAATGGCCAGGCGGGACGGAGGCAGTGGGTGCCCCAACCTTGCCCCCGGAGCCAAGGTCATGCCAGGATGCTCCTGGCACTGGGCCATGGGTTGGGGCAGGGAGAGATGCCGGGGAGCGCCGGGGCTGAGCCCTCCTTGCTGCGGCTGCACCCCATCCTTGGTGGGGGACACATGGGCAGGGGTCCCCAGTCTGGCGTGCGAGTGACGGGGCTGTGCAGCTCCGGGTACTGCAGGGACGGATCCTGGTATGAGTGCAGCCCTGGGCACGCAGGAGCAGCCCGTGGGGTCTGAGCTACCCCACTGCCATCCCACGCCCTGTGCCAGCCGAGCCACCCCAGCTGAGGAGGGGAGCAGAGAGCAGGGCACCCCCTCTGCATCCCCTGGGGGAGCCCATCCCCGTAGCCTCCAGCCTGCTCCCCAGCCGGACCCAGGGCTGGACCCTGCTGGGTCCCCGGGCCTGTTGCCGGCCCCTCCCCAGCCCCTGACACGGTTGTCCCGCACATTTTGCAGACATGGGGAGCTTCGAGGACAGCGAGACGCAGCAAAGCGTGTCCCACGGGGAGGCGGCCGTCATCCGTGCGCCCCGCATCGCCAGCTTCCCCCAGCCCCAGGTCACCTGGTTTCGCGATGGCCGGAAGATTTCCCCCAGCAGCCGCATGTGAGTACCCCCGGCATTCCCCCAGCGTCCGGAGGGGCTGCGTTTCCCTCAGCTGCTGTTGTCCTTGCAGTAAGGATGTTTAACAGACGTCTTGAGCGCATTGTGCTAAAACCCGGAGACAGGCTTGGTGACTAATGGCTCCGTTTGTCACTGGGGAAACGAATTTTTTAAAAAATGAAAATAAGAGGGAGGAAGGCGGGCAAAAGGGGCGCAGCACGTGCTGGGGACAGGAGTCCCTGTGGGGCTGCGGCAGGCCCCGGTGCCGCTGGAGCGGCGAGCCTGGCACCGGCAGACACAGCATGCCGGAATTGAATTTGTAACCCACATTATGCAGGAATTGAACTGGTCTCCTTTCTATTTGCAAAGCAGGATAGAGGAGATAAAACTCCTTTATCTCATATTTAATGGTAAAAATATATTCCGCAAACCATTTTATGTTTCCAGCAGATTAGTGAGTTCCATAAAAAAAAAAAAAAAAAAAAAAGTCTATTAATCTGCACCATCCGATGTGCTCTGCTTGGCGCAGGGGGGTGTAGAGCTCAGTCCCGGCATGGTCCCAGCTCTTGCCTGGGGCCAGTGGCTGAGCCAAGCCCCTGTCTGGGTGCCAGAGCCCGGGGCAGGCGGGAGGAAGGCTGGGGGTCCTGCCCTTCCTATGTGGGTGCCCCGGGGCCGGTGCGGGTGCTGGGTGAGGGAACGAGGGTCCCAGCTCACTGCATCAGTGTCCCCGTTGGGTTCGCATCCCCATCTCACGCCACCCGCTCGTCCCCACAGAGCCATCACGCTGGAAAACACCCTCGTCATCCTCTCCACGGTGGCCCCGGATGCGGGACGTTACTACGTGCAGGCGGTGAACGACAAGAACGGGGACAACAAGACGAGCCAGCCCATCACGCTGACCGTGGCCAGTGAGTGCAGGGGGCATCGTCCCCCCAGCCCCCCTCCCCCTGCACCGCCTGGCTCGCCCCCAAGTTTAATTTGCAGTAAATCTCTTCGGAGGCTCCGGCTTCTGCTGACTTAACAGTTCAGCCGCCTCAAAATTTATTTAGGCACTTTGGGCTGTGCTGCAGGCGCTAATTGTATCACGGACAGAGCCTCCCCCTCCGCCCCTGCCGCCGGGGCTGGATACGGCCATGTCCCAGGACTGGGCTGCGGGATGGGATGGTGCAATGTAGCCCCAACGGGAGCAGCTTTGCTGCCGGACGCCCTGCCCCGCTCCTGCCCATGTTCTCCTCTCAGCCCACGCTGCTCCGGATCAGGCCCTGCCTGGGGGAGACCCCTGTGGCCCCGTCCCTCCGGTCCCCTTGGACCCTGCAGGACCTGGCCGAGGGTCCCCCGTGCCCCATTCAGGTGGTGACAGCCCATCCCAGGGAAGATGGCCCAAAGTGGCATCAGTCCTCCCGGTACTCTCATCCCATCTCCCCTCCCGCTGCTCCATGGGGGGGTTTATCCCTTTCCGCGGAGGGCTCTGCCTGTCCCCCTTCCCCTCCTGCCCCATTAATCTGTTTTTCTGTACCTCGGCGTCCCAGTGCGTAATAAACAACCTGGAGCCCATGTTTATGGATTCAGCTATATCAGCAGCTTTCAAGCCGATCGCATTTTTACAGCGCCTACATGAGGGTTTTTTATTGTTGCAATCATTTTGCTTTATATACTCCCCTTCTCCCTCCTCCCTGCCAGCCGGTGCTGCCACGCAGGCTGGGGGCCGGGCTGGTGCCGTGGGGTGCCGCAGGCTCCCGTGGGAGGAGAGGGCTTAGAGAGAGCTGTGAAGGCACCCTGATGCCAAGGTGATGGGCTGGACCTGCCCGCCCTTCCCATGGGAGAGCAGAGCCCGTGGCCCTTTGGTCCTTGCCACCTTTGTCTTCTCCATACCAGGCAGAGTGGGCACGGGGCTTTGGGTGCCCCATCAGCCTCACTGGGGGCTGGGGCACCATGGGGGTGAGCAGGGGGCAGGGGTTGCTGATGGCTGTCCCTCTGGCCTCCTTCTCCCCAGACGTGGGTGGCCCGGCTGATCCCATCGCACCCACCATCATTGTCCCACCCAGGAACACCAGCGTGGTGGCTGGGACCTCGGAGGTGACCATGGAGTGCGTGGCCAACGCCAGGCGAGTAGCGGCGGGGCAGACGCGATGGGGATGGGGCATCTCCCCATTGGCATTGCTCAGCCCCAGGGCTGGGTGCCCCTGGTTCCCCCCGTGTCCCTTCCCACCAGCGCTCCTGGGTCCTGTGGGATGGGGGGAGGTGGGGATTTGGCGGGGTCCAGGGGGGCTGGGGCTGGCTCTCGACGTGTTCCTGGCCCCTCCAGGCCGCTGATCAAGCTGCACATCATCTGGAAGAAGGACGGGGTGCCCCTCTCCAGCGGCATCAGCGACTACAGCCGCCGGCTCACCATCCTCAATCCCGCGCTGAGCGACAGCGGCTACTACGAGTGTGAAGCCGTGCTCCGCAGCAGCAGCGTGCCCGCCGTGGCTGAGGGTGCCTACCTCTCCGTCCTGGGTGAGGCCCTGGCCATGGCCAGCCCAAACCATGCGTGCAATGAGTTGGGGCGGTCTCAGCCCTGGGGCTGAGATGGGAAGTGACAGGCAGGAGTCACTGGGGGTGGTTTGGTGGCGTGTCTGGAGGACCCCGGCTCTAACACAACCCCCTGCCCATCGCCGAGCTTTCCTTTGCAGAGCCGCCGCAGTTCGTCAAGGAGCCGGAGAGGCATATCACAGCCGAGATGGAGAAGGTGGTGGCCATCCCCTGCCAAGCCAAAGGTGAGCCGCTCCCCAGCCGCCCTCCCCGTGCCGCTGCAGCCCCGTACCTAACATGGTCCTGGCTCTTGCAGGTGTGCCCCCCCCCGAGATGGCCTGGTACAAGGACGCTGCCCTCATCCGCCTGGAGAAGCTGTCCCGCTTCCAGCTCCTGGCAGACGGCAGCCTGCAGATCAGCGGGCTGGTCCCCGACGACACCGGCATGTTCCAGTGCTTCGCCCGCAATGCGGCCGGCGAGGTGCAGACCACCACGTACCTGGCCGTGACCAGTAGGTGCCAGCCAACCCCACCCCGGAGTCTGGGGTGCCCTGCCTGGGCAGTGGGTGGGATGTGCCTGGGATCCCCCAGCTGGGCTCCACAGGGGGCTCGGGGACCCCAGGAAACCCTCCCGTGGGGATGGGACCCCCCCATGCCCTGGGAGTGGGTCAGCTCCAGGCTGGGCACCGGGAAGGGCTTCAGGGGGAGCTGTGCATCTCTCTGCCCTGCAGGCATCGCCCCCAACATCACCAGGGGTCCCCAGGACAGCACGGTGATTGACGGCATGTCCGTAATCCTCAACTGCGAGACCTCAGGGGCTCCACGCCCGGCCATCACGTGGCAGAAAGGTAAAGGGGCTGTGGGCACTGGGGTACAGGCAAGCATGCCCTCCGAGCCCTGTGTCTGCCCTGCCCTGCCTGCCTGCATGGCCCCAGGGCATCCTCTGCGAGCTCCATGGCTACCAGGCTCAGTGGCCACCAGGCTTGGCCGATGGCCGGGGCACTGGGAGCTGATGGGGCTCCCCCATGTCACCCAGGGGAGCAGATCCTGGCCAGCGGCTCGGTGCAGCTCCCACGCTTCACCCTGCTGGAGTCGGGCAGCCTGCTCGTCAGCCCTGCGCACCTCGCCGACGCTGGCACCTACACCTGCCTGGCCACCAACTCCCGCGGCGTGGACGAAGCCTCTGCCGACCTGGTCGTCTGGGGTAAGGCGCCCACCAGCGCAGCCAGGCTCTGCCTGCCGCCCTGCCTGTGTGCACGGTGCAGGATGGACCCTGCCTGGCTCCACGGGCAGCCGGACGCTGCTTCCTACCACGTATGGTGTGGGATGGAGCTCTCTGGGGATGCCAAGGATGGGCACTGGCATGTGGCTGGTTGGTTTGGATGGGTACAAACTTGGGCTGTCCCTGCCGATGCCACCCCCCGCAACCCTCCGGGCAGTGCCGGTGGCTTATCCTGTCCCCCCGCAGCAAGGACACGCATCACCGACCCGCCGCAGGACCAGAGTGTCATCAAGGGGACCAAGGCCGTCATGAGCTGCGGGGTCACCCACGACCCCAGCGTGGATGTCAGGTATGTGCGACAGGGCTGGGAGGGTTGGGGGGGTCCAGGCACCCCCAGGCCTGCCGTCACTGCTGCCTGCCTGCCTGGGGAGGGAGCAGGCAGATGGTGGGTGCCTCCATCCCCAGCCCTGTGCTGGTGGTCCTGCAGTGCCACCTGGTGCCCTGTGCACGGGGAGCCCGGCACGCTGGCGGGACCCTGGTCCCCTCTCCCTGTGGGGGGCTGCAGGGTACCAGGACTCCTGGGTCCCCCCCGGCACAGGTACATCTGGGAGAAGGATGGGGCGCCGCTGAGCCCAGAGAGTGGCCCACGGGTGCGCCTGGATGAGATGGGCACCCTCCACATCTCCCAGACCTGGTCGGGTGACATTGGCACCTACACCTGCAAGGTGGTCTCGGCCGGGGGAACCGACGCGCGCAGCGCCCACCTCCGTGTCCGGTGAGACCTCCCTCGCCCCCGCCGGCACCCCACGTCCT